TGCCTCTGCTTAAGGCCATGTTTTAAATACTGCATTTTCCAAGGGGAGCAAATTCAAGACAATTGAAAAAAAAAAAAAAAAAAAACCCGCCCAAAAACGCCGCCTCATAAGTCTATAATACCTGCTTTTACCATAGCATAAAACTGGTGAAATTGTAGTGCCAAGTACCCTCTGTTCTTGCATCCCACTGAGCATTACATTTACATTGTACTGTTTAGAAATGACATATTTCCTCTTCTCCCCTAATTTTCAGTGTCTTGCTGCAGTTCTGGTTGTGTTCTGACTGATTTTACAGGTTGTAGGCACCTGATCTTGCTACCTACTGTAAGGTAGGCAGGCCATGGTTGCTGAATACCTGCCTCTCTGTAGGAAAGGGATTGGGAAAGCTTTGAAGGGAGTGGTGGGCTCCCTTTAGACATGTAGACAAAATAGGTAGTCCTTGTTTTCTCACAGTCTTTAAACAATACAGTAATAACATGTTGGATAAAGGAGCACTTGGGCAGCTCCCACTACACCTACTTGCTGGCTCTGTGGGGCTTCACTGCCCTACTGGCACCCTCCATTTAATGCCTGCCCTACCATTGTGGGCCCGCTTTGGATAGGAGATGTGGGCAAACTTCTGAAAAGTGGCAGCTCCAAGAAGTTCTGAATCATGTGAACATTTTGTTGTGACGGCAGCAGCACCCCACATGGCTCAACTCCAGATCTTGCCTAACGTGTCAAGAAGCTGTTAAGTTATAAACACTCAGCTGTCTTGTGGTTGATGTGAGGGGCCCTGAGGCAAGATGTCTGCTGCGTGGCACAGGCCGTGTTACTGCACAGCAAGTTCAAAGAGAAGCCAGGAGATTATGTGGGCTGTGGCCCTTCATCTCAAGACAACTGGAATAATAATATCTGTGCCCCCATATTGGGGAGACATTAAAGTATGCAGTGCTGTACCACAGGAGACTCTTGCAAAATGTAGTGTGAATGCAGCTATTGTGCTCCAAAGGAGGCTGGGACTTCTCCAGTGTGGATGTGACAAGGACATGCCTTCCAGCCTAGGCATTGACATATTCATGTCAACAAAAGCAGGATAAATTTAGCCTAGGTAGAATTTTATGAGTTCTGTGTCTGAATTCCTACACAGCAAGTCACAGAAGTCTCATCTGGCTGCTTAGCTGTGTCTGGTGATCTAAGCCAGACCTAATCTAGCCTTTACTTCTAGATAATGCTCCTACACGCTTGAATAAAGATGATGCTATTTTTGCTGTCTCCCTTCAAATGGGGCCAGTGTACAGCCAAGCACGTTAGATTTGTGAAGCCAGAGAACAATTATCAAGAGAAAACACAAACTGATGGTCCAGAGATGAGGGCTTTCCCAAGACAGAATGGAGAATGGAGAATATTTGAATTCTACTCTGAATTCCAGAGAGTGCTCCTGCATTTTATTCAAGAAACACATTAGCCTGTCTGCCATCCTAGAATGTGCAAGATCTGGACTCAAGCCCTACTTGGACTGAGAAGCATTTAGATTTTGGCATTCCTACGTCCTTGATTAGTGCTCTACTAAAGCTTTGTGACCCAAAGCTCTTCTACTGCAAAGCGCAAAAGGACACACTTCTACTCAAGATTCTTTTTTTTAAAGAATCTTTATTCTTAAAACGGGAAAAGTTGCTAGAAGCAACTTAGTACATAATTTGCTGTCATCAGTTCTTAGGGATTTAACATCATACACAATACAAATATTAACTAAAATGCCAGTAAAATATGGCAAGAAACAAGAAATAAAAATAAAATTATTATCAAGAAATTATTATCAGGAATTGTTATTGGGAAACAAAGTTGCATTTGAGTGGGGAACCTAGAAACTAGTGGCTGTAGTAGCTTCACAGATAAAGGTGCTTTTACATAAATGACAGTATTCTTAGGAAGAAAAAAAACAAAAAAAAAAGAAAAGGAAAGGAAAATAGAGAAGAGAAGAGAAGAGAAGAGAAGAGAAGAGAAGAGAAGAGAAGAGAAGAGAAGAGAAGAGAAGAGAGAAAAAAGAAAAAGTTAATTATACTACTCAGTTTTTAATGAGAATGTTAACCTAATGGTTTCAGTAATTTGGTGGAATAAAAAGAGTGAGTAGAACATTGTAATTTGAGAATACAGATTATATAGGAATTAAATAATAAGTTCTGTTTGTGTAGACAGGATAGCACACATTTTTAAAAGCTTATTGTCAAATAAAGTAAGTAACAATAAGGTTGTGCCTGAAGAATATAAGTATTATGGAATTTTTCTGAAAGAAATTCTATATGCAAAGATTCATATAGAAGCTTTCTCCATAGTGAAAGAGTTTGCTGCTAGGGCAATACTACTGATCACTTTGTTCAGAAAGTGACAGAGGAGTGTTAAATGCCAGAAAGAGTGAGAGAGAAGAAAACTTAATAGTACTAGGGGACATCAGTCATTCATATGGAAACTGGATGAGTGCTTCCTCAGGAATCAATGCAGAAATTAAATTTGCAAACACTATATAAAAGACTGTTGCTTGGGATGAGAGACAGAAAAAAACCTCCTGGTTCATTTCCAAGTAGATACTCAACGAGCCACTCTTCGATAGTGACACAAGTTTGGTATCCTAAGAAATTGGTCATGTTAGTGTATAAGTTAAAAAGAATAATATAAAATGACCAAGTCTTCAAAAGGAAGTTAAAAAGAACAACTAAAAGGACAGAGGTTTTCCAAGGACAGGTAGGTTATTCAAAAGTAGCACAGTGCAAGATAAGAAGAGCATGTATATAAGAGATCCTCAACTCCCCCATCATTAACAAAACATTGTTTCTCAGTTCTCAACCCCAACATACTTTTAAGAAATGTGGACACCCTCCTTTCCTACCGAAAGAAGAAGAGAAAACATCTTAAGAAGTCTATAGGCTGATAGGTAATAGAGATATGAAAGGACACCTTATGCTCAAGGAACATAATGGCAAAATGAAACGCTTACTTGCACTGGAGTGCAAAATTATGGGGCAATTTACTGAAGGGTAAGTTGGAGGAATGATCCTAGGTCTAAGCAGAGGTTTAAAAAAAATCTCTACGACAGTTCTTAAACAGAATTCTGTACAGTCTAACACAGCCAACTGCTGAGCTGTTACATGCAGTGTGTTCTGAACTGTCTTGCTTGCAGCAGACATATTTCTAAATATGATAGCTTAAGGGAGAATTGAAATGGTTTTTTGATAGAGGGCAACCCTGCCTCTGATGAATTCAATGAAGATTGCTATGTTATTATCTAAACGAGCTTTGATCTGGTCACTCCTGAATATTGTGTGCAGTTCAGAAGCTCCTATTCTAACAATAACAAAAAAATGTACAGTAAAAATGAAGCAGTGTATGTACAGTAAAAGTGTATGTACAGTAAAAATGAAGCACCAAGATGAGGCAGTGTGTGTGTGAAGGTGAGATGTGAACAAATGCTCCCTGTTTCTCCAAAACAAGAACGGGGGGGGACTCAATTGAACTATTTGGCAGCAGTTTTAAAAGCGAAAACAAATAAACACAATTTAATTGTGTAACTCATTGCCACAAGATATTTTGAAATCCAAAAGGATAAATAGATGCAAAGAGCTATTGTATGAATTCATGGATGGAAGGTCCAGAAATAGCTATTAAAACTCAGTGGTGTGCACATAGCTTTCAGTTCAGGAGATTCATAAACTGTAGATCATTGGAACTTGGTCACATATGTACAATAATATGTGGAAGTAGCACAGTACACTTCACTTCTTTTTATTTTTGCTATGCAGATGCCACTCACTCCATCAGACACGGGTGTGTAGACTGGGTGGGTTGTTGATCTGGTGTATTCCTATGTATGAATGCCAGAATTTAGCTGTTGTTATTTTTAATCAAACCCTTTAATTCAGTGAGAGTTGTTTGAGGAGTGTGATTAATCTCCCCAAAATATTTTCACTGGGATAATGACGAACTGGAATTACATGGAAGCATGTAGAATATAGGTAGTTGCACTGGCAGAATAGACACTATCTTTTACCTTTTTTATTTTAAAGGAAAAATGCTTCAAGCCAGTGTGAAGGCAGATACTAGCAGATGGTGTTAATCACATATCCTCTACGTTAGCTAATGGGAAATATTTTGCAGCAGCCCTGAGGTCTGAGTTCCCACATGTCTCTTGTGCTGGAGCCAGCCCTCTACGGAGAGGGACCCCCCTTTCCCGCCTGTGTCCATGGGCTCCCTTTCAGTGTCTGCCGAATGCTTGTTCCTGGTGGCTGTACAGGTGACAAGGCCCCCGGGGGGCGGTTGTGTTTGTTATGTCCAGGGGTGTTTAGGTGTTGGGAGCTGCTTTCGGAGCCCCTGGTGTAGCGCTCGTTTCGTAAAGTGCAAATGTTTCCTGAGCCTGTGGAAAATCCAAATACTGGAGATAGGCGGGCTGTAGAATATTCTGCTGGTACAATTAAATAATTAGTTAAATAAATTCAAGGCTCAGATTCTCAGTACAGAAGAAGCCGCCTTTCTTATTCTATACTTATGTTAGCACAACTCCTTTTTTTTCTTTTTTTTTTTTTCTTTTTTAATTCAATACATTAGTAACCCAAGAAAACAGGAAGAGAGAAGAATTAATGTATTTGGAGTCCAGTGATCATGCCTGGTATATCACTGTGAGAAACAAAATCCATATTTACACTTGAAATTTACAGAGAAGACATTCACTAAAGTTCATCCAAATCTGACATGCTGAAATCCAGAAGGAACAGAGGTTTTTTTTTTTTTTTTTTTACTGCTAATGTCAGAAACTCAGGCTTCCCAGCTTTCAGTGAAGATCCTAAGAACTGGTCAAACATGCTTTATATTTTCCACAACTAGCAATTTTCTGACTTTGGAACGTTTTAGGGGAGGAGCTTTGAAGTGCTGTGGGAGGGACTAAAATTCATATTAAAGTTTTGGCATGAGGGAGAGAATTGTCAGAGTTGAAGGTTTCTTCTGAGGTTTTGCTTTTTTTTTTTTTTTTTGGTCAATTTAGGATGACAAGTATTCATGTTCAGACTCTTCTCATAGTTTTTTTCTGGAATTCTGATTGCCAGGTTATTCCCAGAATTGAAGAATGTGGACTTTCATGTTCTCAGGTACTCTCTTTCTTGTTCCTATTTGCTGTCTATTAACTTAATAGCTGTATGTTATCAAAAGAATTGTAAAGAAAAAGTGAAGCAAAAATAAAAAGACTTCAACTGTCCTTAACATTGCAAAGTATCCAAAGTGACAAAGATTACTGCCAGCAAGGCAGAAGAAAATGAAATTTACACTAAATCCAGCTACTGTTGTGCTTGGTGATTTTTTTTTCTGTCTTGTGTATTTGGAAATCAGTAATAGAAATGCTTTAGAACATATTCAGTACTTTGGGGATTCAGTTGTTACAACAGCACAGTGCCAAAGGGGAGAGGGAGAGAGAGGAAGTTTCAGAATTTCTCATTATGTTAGGAATATATATATATATATATATATGTATATAAAGACTTTTCTGCAAATAAGTGAATTACAGCATGAGAAAGACTAAAACCTGTTTTTCATTTTGTGGTACGAATGTAACTGCTGTTAAATGTAATGCCTTATGTGTGTGCATAAAAGTGGCATGTGAGCCATACCCTCTCTGCATTTTGGACGTTCCCGAATAGGCCCACAAAGGGGCAGCATGGAGATGGGCAGCTCCTGCTGCCGCGCTCAGCGCTCACTGAGACAGCAAATAGAAAGATAAGTACAAAATAAGATAAAATAATAGGGAGTCTCATTTTCAGTCTTAGGACGGTAACTATCTACCTGCTTTGGAGAGGTGGGACTGACAGCAGGAAAGGGTTTGGCTGTATGTACAGAGCACTGTTTGCAAAAGTCACAGTGTGCTTTGTCCCTCGGGTAGGCAAAAGATTGTTTAAATGTGGCAGGACTAAGATATTAAGTGAGTACTTGTTACAGCAATTTATCTTACATTGTCTATCTTCTGTCTTCTATTTTCTTTTTTCTATTACCTGTTTTCTATTTTATAATTGTGTCCTAGAAAACGGGAGGAATAAAGATACTTCAAAAGCACTAGATGGAGGGGGAAAAACTATATTTAAAGTTATTTTATATCCCTGAATTTGAATTCTGTACAGTGTCTGTCTTCTCATGTAATATTTTTAAAATAATAAAATAAAAAAAAGATATTAATCTCTTGATGTGCCTCAGTATTTGTCATATGCATGTTTACATATGCAAAACTACATGTATTTTAAATAAATCATTTTCCTTGGACTGCTACAGAGAAAGCTTAAAATAGCTATAATTTACTTTTCTAATTTGTTCTGCCAGAGTAGTTGACTGTGAG